CCTGTTTTGCCCAGTTCTTTTTCCTCCATGGATTCTCCTTCATGGAATCTTCTGTTCTGCTGGCCATGTCCTTTGACCGCTATGTTGCCATCTGCCGCCCCTTGCATTACGTCACCATCCTCACCAGTGAAGTCATTGGCAGGATTGGGGTAGCCATCATTGTCCGCTGTGTTCTGGCTGTTCTTCCCTCCCTTTTCCTTCTCAAGCACCTGCCCTTCTGCCGCTCCCACCTTCTCTCACACTCCTACTGCCTCCACCAGGATATGATTCGTCTGGTCTGTGCAGACATCCGGGTCAACAGCTGGTATGGATTGGCTGTCGTTTTGCTCATTATCGTGATGGACCCTTTGCTCATTGTGGGGTCCTATACACTCATTCTGAAAAGTGTCCTGGGCACTGCCACTCGGACTGAGAGGCTCCGAGCCCTCAATAACTGTTTGTCCCACATTCTGGCTGTTCTAGTCCTTTATGTTCCTATGATTGGAGTTTCCATGACCCACCGCTTTGCCAAGCATGCCTCTCCACTGCTCCATGTTATCATGGCCAATGTCTACCTGTTGGCACCTCCTGTGATGAATCCCATCATTTACAGTGTAAAGACTAAGCAGATCCGCCAGGGAATCTTCCATCTCCTCCTTCAGAGGAAAGCACACTGACTATTAGAATTTAGGTTTACAGGGGCATGTTCAATACAACAGAGTCACGAGCATGAGCCCCAGCCATCCAAACTGTAAGTAGCATAAATGAGGAAGGACGAGGGGCTGTATTAGCAGCTTCTAATGTAAATAATATGTAATCACTGGTTCTTCACTAAAATTTAAAAAACCCATAGTTTTAAAGCTCTCATTTAGAGTAACTAGCCATATAACATTGAGAAAAAATATTAAAAATATAAACCAAAGTATAATCCCATCTCTGCAGTGCTTTCTTTACTATGTTGTTATATAAAGCTTGGGGTTCAGTATATGTTCTTTTTTATAAACTCAAAATGCTCATAACTGCATGAAAATACCTCATGAAGCTATAAGATGTTCATTCCCTATAATTCCTCAAGCCAATGTCAACATTTAATTAAATGCACATGCTCATATAATCTCAATTGATAACAGGAAACAGGCATTCATGATCATGAGGTGCTACTTGGAAAAAGAGGGAAAAGGCCAGGACATTTTAGAAACTGTTGAAGTCATTTTAATGCAGAATTCCTTTAACTTCTCTGTGGAAGTATGTATTCAATGTGATGGAAACCATAGCTGGAAGAAGATGCTAGCTGCAGGTGGGAAGAAAGACAGATATCTCTGAAGATAAGCATGAAGCAGCTTGAATGTTAAGCTGGTGAATACTTAGAATCAACTCAATGTTATTTATTATTAGTCTTGTTTAAAATTGTTGGGGACTTGGGGCCTCCCCTAGTGGCACAGCGATTGAGGGCTGCTTTGCGAGGCTGCCCGCAGCCTCTGCAGCGCCAGTTCGATCCCCGGTTACCAGCGAAGGTCCCACAAAAAAAAATAAAATAAAATAAAATAAAATTGTTGGGGACTTAGATTTGTCATCATGACTTGTTAATAAATGTGTAGAGAAGGCTGCTTAACTTTTGATAGTCCTGCCACTTTATCTGTAATATGTGTACAATTTTCTATCAAACTGGTTTTAATAACTAATAAATGGATAACAGTTGTTAATAGCCTAGGATTACAGAAATACTTTTGATAAAGAAACTTAGTCAATGCTTTGATCAAGTTAGTAGGAAGGAGCAATCTTAACAAGACTGTGAAGAGTATTTATGGGCGATAAGGAATGAGAATTGTGACGAGACTATCAATATAAAGAACGAAAAACCACTGTTTGAAGAAAAACCACTGTTTCCTTAATAAATGCTGTTTCTTCCCTTCGCCGATCCCATGTTGTGATACTTTCCAGTGTAGTTCACGTGTGTTTATATTTACCTATCACGAATTTAGAAAGAAATTGATGATGTCCACTACTACCTGGGAGAGCAGAGAATTCCTCTTGCTATAATTCCAGTTTCTCACCTCTCAGACACTATAAACAGGATTATACATATTGTTCTCCATAATGGAACTATCTAGTAATTACGAGAATTAAGTCTCACCTTGAAGTAGAGTGACACTCCTTCTAGAAACATCTAAATCTTTTGAGTCTATGAAAATATTCTTTTCTCTTTGTTGTGTTTTTTAGAGCTGAATGGTTGATTTCATTCCTTTATTTTATTTTTAATTGTTTTACAACACTGTCTATGATTCTGTGGTATAAGTTCATACCTCTTCAGAAATATGTCAACATTTCCCACCTACCACCACAGCACCCATATTCCACCACCTTAGATCACTGAACTCCATGCCCCTTTTGCTCCCCTGTCCTTCTGCAGGTTGAATTCTGCAGTCCATTTTCTAGGATTTTATTTGTTTCAGTTGTGTGTTCCTTTGTTTTCTCATAGTATACGAGTGAGTGAAATCACCATTCTTTATCTCTCTGGCTGACTTTGTTTACCATAATCCTCTCCATTTCTATCTATGTTGTTGTAAATAGCAACATTTCATCTTTTTTATAACTGATCATCATTCCTGTTCATATGAATGTGTGAGTGAGTGTGTATGTGTGTGTGTGTCCACTTGAACACACCACTGAGAAAAGAACGTATCAAAAGGACCAGAAAGAACAAGTGTAGCAAGGGTGTGGAGGAAAAGGAACCTGTGTTCGCCATTCGTGGGTTGTAAGCTGGTCCAGCCCCTATGGAAAACAATATAGGAGATTCTCAAAATATTAAAAATAGAAATCCACATTATCCAGTAATTTTTCTCCTGGGTATCTATCTGATAAAATACAAAACACTAATTCCAAGGGGTACGAGCACATGTATGTTCACTGCAGCACACGTCACAATAACCAACTTATGAAAGAAACCTAAGTGCCCAGCAGCAAAAGAGAAGTGGGTAACGATCTTGTGCATAAGATCAGAAAGAAATGACCCACGCCACAATAGGTCTTTTTTTTTTTTTTAAGATTTATCTATTTAAGCATATAAGAACTGGAGTACAGGCCAGAGGTGTGGGGGGTAAGAGGATTCCTCAGAGACAGAGAGGGGAGCAGAACAGGCAAATTGACTGAAACTTAAATACACTGTGAGGGTAGCAGTGGGCAAGTCAGGAGAGGTCTGCTGCACCATGTGGGTAGCTCCCTGGCCAGAGATCAAACTCGTGCTACAGAGGCTGCAGATAGCTTCACATTGCTGTTTAACCCCTTGTGCCCCCCACAATAGGTCTTTCTAAAAGAATTAGTTATGACAAAGAATTTTTTAAAATGGTTTGGCACCCCAATTTTAGTATTTTATCCAAAGCTGATTCCAGAGAGTGGAATCTGGTCAGAGTGATTATAAATCAGTCAGGATGTGTTCCATTTCAGTCTTCAAGAACTACTGAATCAAGTACTCCCATAGTATGAATCAGATTAAGCAATTATGCATTTAGACTAAGTTATTAGAAAATAGGTATTTTCCTTACCACGATGGAGTCCTTGGCAATAGGAGCTTTGAATGCAACATTGCTTTATATTTAATATTAGTGATTTATGCTTAATTACTTTATCCATTTGGAATTTTTTGACATAAATTGAGAAGTGAGTCAGCAGAGAACTAATAATTGAACAATTTCCCTTTCTAGGTTTCTTTTGATATGGCTTCCACATATATCTATTTTATAAATATTAAAAATATTATCACGCTAGCTAAAGATTCACTGAAAAGCAAAAGCTCCTTGATCAGGTGTATGAAATTCCTCCTATATGCAATTATCCTGTTCCTTCTAATTCCATCCCAGAATCACACTTCTTATACTAGAAAATTTCTCAGAACTAATGTATTTTCACTAATGTGCACTCAACATCAGGATATAGTTCAAATCACATACAACAAGCTGGATGAACAAGTCTTCACTGGGGCTTCCTGACTGTTGGCTCTGTGAGGACACCAAAGGCAGCAAAACCTCTGACAGAGCTGACTTCCTGAATTCCTGGTGGGTCCAGCTCTCAGGATGCCTCTTCATGTAATTCTGAGGGATTTGCCATTTCCTCAGCCTGCTGTCTAGAGATCTGCAAGAGTTTATAACATCTTTACTCCACGAGCCTCATAGAGAAAGACACATCTCTGATAGTGAAGAGAGCACTATAGACAGGAGAACCCACAGGTAAGTCTCCCCTGGTAATGATCAGGGAGAGAGAGGGGAGATGATTATGGAGAGAGGAGGAAAAGAATTACTACAGATAATGCACGTACAGCAGCAGCTGAACAGAAACTTTGACCAATACCTGTGATCATCTTACCTGGCTCTACCCTCACTGCCCAGGAGTTTTGCTCCACTTGCTGCAATCCATGTTGATATTGAGTACATGCAATCCATGGTGTTAGACCACTTCAACTAATGTGAATGAGATGGCAGATTACATATACAGGGTGATTTACAGGAATCATAACCACAGCATGTGGTAAAATGAATCATGGGGGAGAAATAGAAACCGACTTCTCTCTGGTATTCAGATCAAGGGGAGCAAGTGAGAATGCTGTTATCAAAGTCAAAGGAAATTCAAAAGGATGGTGACTAGCTATTAGCCATTACTTTCCCAGCTTGGAGTCCATGTTGTCTCTCGGGGAGTAATATTCAGAGAGACATTGGATGAAAGACAGATGCTTCAGAGTCCGAAGAAACTGTTGAAAATAGGAAAATAGAAACAAAACAATATTTTAAAAATTTGCCCGTGAATGATGTGTGTTGTGCTACTGGGGAGGATAAGCGTTGTAGAAGCAGTCTTTAGAGACAGTCTATTGAACAGCAAGCAACCCATGGATCCTTGAATCAATCTTTAATTACATTACTATGAACCTTTATTTCCACAGAGAGTGGAGAACACAGAAAACTGTGATTATTACTTAAGTTCGTGGTTGTCTCTGAGCAAAGACTGTCACTCTGAAGTGAAGCTGATTGAGCATGTCTGAAGTGAGGAATACCACACAAGAGCCCTTCTACTTCATCCTCACGGGCATCCCTGGGTTTGAGGCTTACCACATCTGGATCTCCATCCCTTTCTGCTGTCTCTATGCCATCTCCATCATGGGCAACACCACCATTCTCACTGTGATCCGCATAGACCCTTCCCTCCACCAGCCCATGTACCTGTTTCTCTCCATGCTGGCCCTGACTGACCTGGGTCTCACCCTCACCACCCTGCCCACGGTCATGCAGATCCTCTGGTTCAATGTTCAAGAAATCAGCTTTGAAGCTTGCTTTGCACAGTTATTTTTCATGCACACCTTCTCCTTCATGGAATCTTCTGTTCTGCTGGCCATGTCCTTTGACCGCTATGTTGCCATCTGCCGCCCCTTGCATTACGTCACCATCCTCACCAGTGAAGTCATTGGCAGGATTGGGATAGCCATCATTGTCCGCTGTGTTCTGGCTGTTCTTCCCTCCCTTTTCCTTCTCAAGCGCCTGCCCTTCTGCCGCTCCCACCTTCTCTCGCACTCCTACTGCCTCCACCAGGATATGATTCGTCTGGTCTGTGCTGACATCCGGGTCAACAGCTGGTATGGATTGGCTATCGTTTTGCTCATTATCGTGATGGACCCTTTGCTCATTGTGGGGTCCTATACACTCATTCTGAAAAGTGTCCTGGGCACTGCCACTCGGACTGAGAGGCTCCGAGCCCTCAATAACTGTTTGTCCCACATTCTGGCTGTTCTAGTCCTTTATGTTCCTATGATTGGAGTTTCCATGACCCACCGCTTTGCCAAGCACAACTCTCCACTGCTCCATGTTATCATGGCCAATGTCTACCTGTTGGCACCTCCTGTGATGAACCCCATCATTTACAGTGTAAAGACTAAGCAGATCCGCCAGGGAATCTTCCATCTCCTCCTTCAGAGGAAAGCACACTGACTATTAGAATTTAGGTTCACAGGAGCACGTTCAATACAACACAGAGTCACGAGCATGAGCCCCAGCCATCCAAACTGTAAGTAGCATAGATGGAGGAATGAAGAGAAAATGTGTAAGGAACACAAATTAACTAGATTGATGTCATTCTTTTTTTAATAGTTATTAAGAGAACTAGGTTTTTAAATTTTCTTCATTCTTTACTAGCCGTAAAGCTTAGAGAAAAATATACTTAGGAATGCCATTCAAATATAACCCCACCCGTGTGCTGTTTTTTTCGCAGTGGTATTGTTATTAAGTTTGTGGTAATATATAAATTTCAGCTTTATAAACTCATAATGTTGGTACTACATACATACTTAGTGATTTGTCATATATTTAGGTCCCTCTAAATAATTCCTAATGTAAATAGACTACTTTAATTATAAATAGGCCATGCAATGTAAAGCTGCATAATGAAATAGAATATTTCAACTCTGAGGTCTAAATTGAAGAATGAATAATCATATGGATATAACTCTACTTGGAAAAATAATACACCAAATTTCAATAACCCAGTATGGAAGTGATCTGGGTTTTCAGAAACTGCTTAATTTTTAATGTAGAGTGTATTCACACTCACAGTGGCATCAGAAATTCATAGAGATGGAGACTAGAGCTCAAAGGAGATCCTGGATGCAGATAAGAACTATCAATTAGATATCTTTGCAAGATAAGCATAAAACCGCTTGAATGTTAAGTGAGTGAATGTATAAAAACAACTAAGAATTATTTAAAATTAGACTTGTTTCTAAGCTGGCTCACACTCTGCATTATTCTGTTGGGTAACTTTGATTTGTCTTTATGTCTTGTTAATAAATGAGATGAGAAAGTTGTTTAAATTTGGAGGCATTATCTCTATAACCGTAAATTGTGCACAACTTTCCCCCAAACCTGTTTTAGTGACTATTAAAAAGAAAACACATATAGTTGTCTTAGGTTTGCAGTGACACTATTGATAAAAGAGGAGGAAACATTTAATGTTATCAATGTGGATAAGGAACGAGGACTGTAGTAAGAGGCTATCAGTGTAAACAGTTTGTAGTGCAGATGATTGTTAAAAAAATGCTATTCTCTTTTGTCACTAACCCCATTTTGTTATATTTTCATTTGTAGTTAATACACGTATATAGCTATAAAGGTGCCTGGGGGGCCCACTAACCATCTGGAATGTCAGGGAACTCCTGTGCTACATACCCAGTCTTTCCTCTTTCAGACAGGAGATTATGTAAATTATTTTCAGCAATGAAAGCTATCCAGTAATAAAGAGAATTAAGTCTCAGAATTAAATATGGATTAAGAATCCTTCTAGTGGCGCAGGCGGTTGAGTGCAGCACTATGAAGCTGTCCACAGTCTCTGCATTGTCGTTTTGATTCCCACTGGCTGCAAAGACACCCACATGGCGGGGCAGACCTCTCCTGTCTCGCCCGCTGCTCCCCTCAGCAGTGTATTTCAGTCAGTCTGCCTGTTCTGTTCCCCACTCTGTCTCTGATGAATTCTCTCACCCTCCCATACATCTGGCCTGTACCCCGGTTCTTGTATAAATAAAATAAATCTTTAAAAAAAACCCTTCTAGTTATATCTTAATCTTCAATAAGTCTGTAATAAAGTCCTAAATAAATGACCCATCCCATATTTAAGAATGTCTCAAAAATGTTACAATGTGATGAGTTTTCATCAAAGCAACATTTAATCCAGAACAAAGCCACACATCTTTATGCTTCCCAGAAAATCTCCCCAAACTAACCATATTTTATAATAAGGCTTTTTTATACTCTTTTGCTCATTATCCATAGCACACATTCTCCCTCTCAGAACAAGTAATGAGCTAAACTTATCATTTCATTGAGCATAATGTCTTCCATGTCTCCCTATGCATCACAAATGTCAGATAGCCTTGTTTATCAGGAAAAGGAAATAAAAAGTATGCAAGCTGGAAAGGAGTCCATAAAACTGTATGTGTTCATAAATGACACAAAAGCCTATAGAAAATTGCGAAGAATAGATTAAAAAATCTAGACCTAATAAATTATCATTGCAAAGTCGTGGGATATATTGTTATAATGTATAAAAGTCAATGTCTTCCTTAAGATTTTTTCTTTCACTTTTTTCTCTTACAAATTCTGTACCAATGGCTGACTCAGTTGATCACAGTGAAGGAACCACTCTGCTTCATAGAAACCCTGATCCAGAATTAGGACCCTCATGAATGGTTCAGCACCAGGTTCTCCACAATCTGGTGGTATGTGGTGCGGAAGAAGTCAGCTTTCTTTCCAACAGGAGTTGCTCTCCACAATAGGACCTAGTTTGAGCTCAGGGTGGGAGTGACCATGGGACAGATAACTATTTAAGACCAACTGAGCCTTCAGCAGCACTAACTATTGTTCTACCTAGGTGGGATTCTGACTTGGAGGCAATCAGTCATAATCCCACAAATGGTAAGCACTTATAGCAAATGTCAAGACCTGCATCAATTGTTTTCTCATATACAAATAACAAGAAAAGTAGAATTTGAAATTAAAAACAATATAATTACATTAACACTGCCAAGAATGAATTATTAAGGTATAAATCTAACAAAATATATTCAATATGTAGCTGAGAAAAAGTACAAAAGTTTGATGAGAAAGTCAAAGAACACAATAAATGAAGAGATATTCATGCTAGTTGATAAGATGACTGAATATTGTCAAGACATCAGTCTTATACAACTTGATCTATAGATAAATATTCCAGCAAATCATTTTTGGATATTGGCAATTGATTAAAAAGTTTATATGGAGGTACGGAAGACCCAGAAAAGCCACACAATGTTGAAGAGGAAAAAGACAGAATTGGATAATTGAAGTTACTTGACTGCTATAAAACTATGGTAATCAAGACAGTGTGGTGTTGGCAAAAAAATTTAAAAAGTATACAAAAAGTATACTGGATAGTTTTCATTGCTGAAAATAAAATCAGTGCAGCAGAATAGTGAGCCTAGATAGAGCCCTATGAATATAATCAAGTGATTTGATAAAGGGATAAAAATAAAACAAAGAGAGTCTTCGACAAATGGTGATGAAACAATTGGACATTCACATACAAAAACTTATAAAAATATTAATAGACTTATGCCCTTCACCAAAATTAACTCAAAATGGAACAGAGATTTAAATGTAAAATGCACTACTATAAAATTCCTAAAAAAAAAAAAAAAACAGATAATGTGTTTTTAAATACACCAATGACAAACCACTGAAAGAAAGAAATAAGTTGCACTTCATTAGATTAAAAACTTCTGCTCTGTGAAAGGCAAGAGAATCAGAAAACAATTCACAGTCTGAGAGAAAATATTTGCAAAAGTCACATCTGTTAAGAGATTTATCCAAAATATACAAAGAACTCATAAAATTCAACAGAAAGAAGAGTAAAAACAAATTTAAAATGTAAACAGTGCTGCAATAAACATAGGGGTACAGGTGTTATAACAATACAAAACACAAAAATCAAAAACAGAAAATTATAAATCAGAGACATCCTGCAGGGGAGGAGGAGGGAGAGGGATCAGAGGGAGGGAGAGAGGAGCACAGGAGACTGAGGTGATGGTGCACGGGTGCCTCCGGAAAGGAAATTCTATGGGGACTACATTTGATGGGGGGGGAAGCAATGTTTAAAAATGAACAGTGATGTCAAAAAAATAAGAATTTAAAATTAAAATTAAATAAAAATTAACAACTTATACATGCAAGGAGCACAGTGGTTATATTCTTTGGCTTTGGAATGCAACCAAACTAACATCAAATACTTGTTAGCCACATTTTTCAAATGCATGAGTTCCTAGAAAGTCATTTTACCTCATTAATCTCTGGTTTACATAAAAAGGGGAACATAACCCCTCCCTGCAGGGATCATTATTAGCACTAACTGAAAATGTGCATTTAGCATAAAACTGTCACAAGTAAGCATATTGCTATGCAGAGCAAAATATAACATCTACTGTAAATTGTAGTTTTTGAAAAGTAAACATGGTTGCATAATATTTGTTATTTTGGTGTCATAGTAGTTATAGAGTATGTACATATATACCATATTATAGAACACGCACATACACCAGATTTCATCCATTATAATGTTAATAAGAAAAATTTCTCAGCCAACACAAATGATGTTTTTGAGGAATCACTTTATTTACTTTTGTAATTAAAGTCACAGATTGCAAGAATTTTATATTACAAATAAAGTTAAGGAACTATTTTTAGTGTAAAGATTTATACTTATTGGGAGTGATTTCCTAGCTCTCTATTCCAAATGTTAATTCTATGGCTTAAATAAAGCATGTGACTGATTTAAGTGATAATTATGGTCAACATATTTTACAGAAATTATTATACATGTTTTGCCTCCATGAAGAAAGTACAACTGTTTCTGCCTTGTTATGCCCTTGTCTGCATAGTGTTTTGTTGTGGTTTTTTTTCATTTTTTATTTTTTATTTTTTAAATAAATTTTATTTTTATAGTCCCCATACAATTGCAACCCCCTTATTTTGACCCCAATCCCTCCCCTCCCAGCCCCCACCCCTCATAGACTGTCTCTTGTTCATAGTTGTTTGTTGATTTTGATATTTCTTTCTTATAGTTCTTCTTTTTCCTGGTCCCTTATTTAAGTGCAGCGATTGAGCGCTGGGCAGTGAAGCTGCCCGCAGCTTCTACAGCACCAGTTCTATCCCTGGCCACTGGGCAAGAGTCCCACATGGTGCGCAGACCTCTCCTGCCGTGCCCCCTGCAGTGCATTTCATCAGTCTGCATAGTGTTTTGTCATTAAAAAAAACACCAGGGCCTCCGTGGTGGGTGGCGGAAGGAGTTAAGACTCAACCTATGAAGCTATTTCGCAGCCACTGCAGCACAAGTTCAATCCCCAACCAGGGAGCAACCCACATGGTGCAGCAGACCTCTCCTGACTCACCCGCTGCTCCCCTCAGCA